CGCCTCGCGTCTGCGCACGGTTGCCCTGGGACGCCGGCTCTCGCGGCTGGGCTGTGCGCGACGCCGGCGCTGGCGCCAAGGCGGCGCTGCAGCCGTCGGTGGAGGCGGCAGCGCCGGCGCAGGCGGCGGAGTCGGCGACCGCGGCGGCCGAGGCGGCGCCGAAGAAGGCGGCGCCGAAGAAGAAGGGGTCGAAGAAGATGGGGTCGAAGGGGTCGTAGGCAAGGCGCCCGGAGCCGAAGGTACGGTAGGGGGCGGACACGGACCGACCGAACTGAGGATGGAATCTCGACGAGAGCGGTCGAGGCTTGAGCGAGAGCGGGGTGCCGGAGGGTTGCGTTGAGTGGACATTTGTTGCGGTTGAGCGGTTTGTGGACGTGTGGTCCTTGGTCCTGGGAGAGGGTCGATTTCCGCATCTGGTACGGGAACAGTGGCCGGCGCGGCACCGGCCAGTGCATCCATCGTGCATGTGCGCCGTCGCGTCCGCGCCACATGGCATGTGTGCATGCTGCATGTAGCATGACGCTGACTGTAGCATCGGACTGACAACGTTACTGTAGTCGATCAGTACTCGGAACTCGCGCTAGCCATGAACGAGCACGCACACTCCGCACACACACACTTACCGACGCTAACGGACAGGGGACAGCTCCGACCACACAACTCACAAGCGCGAGACGAGCGACTCCTAGAAGAGACACGTGGCGGCGGGCTCCTCCCCGGCCTTACTGTGTCTCTGGGTTCAGCGCCGAAGCGTCACGGACAAACTCGGTCGGCACCGGCGTCGGTGCCGGGCACTTTGCCAGCGAGCGGAAGGCTTGCTCCTCGCTTAGTCTCTCGCTGCGCTTTGCAGCGTAGCGAGACACGGCCTCGAAGAGCGAGGCCTTAAGGGCGTCATCGCCGCCGGCGCGTTCGTACCTGGCAGCGGGGGTTGGGATGAGCGCAACCTTCGCCACGGGGCGCTGTCGGGGGGGGGGGGGGGGGGAAATCCGGCGGGCGGCGAGGCACCAATACTGCCGGAAGCGCTCGTGCATGAAGACGAGCTCCTGCTTCTTCACAAACACCTCCTCGGGTGGCGGGCCGGAGCGGCTCGCGAGGCCGAGCGCTTCGCAAGTCTCGTCCGTCGGTGCGACCGGCCTCATGCACAAGACCTTGTACGCGTTGCCGGGCGGCCCGCGCATCTCTGTCCGCACTATCTCGTGCGGCAGCGGCCCGAGCCGGTCCACAAAGTACATCATGCCGTCCCTAGTGTGGATCTTGGTGGGGCGCTTGGGCGCCGCGGGGGAGGGACCGCCGCCGCTCGACGTGCCGGCGGACGGTTCGCCGCCTCCCGCTCCCTCCGGCCACTCCCACTGCGACCGCCCGCTGGGGGTGTGGTGGTAGTAGAGGTGGCCCGTGGCGGGGTCGACGCCCGAGACCCACCCAGCGGGCAGCTGCGTGGCCGCGCTGGCGGGCCTTCGCGCCCCGCCCTGCTGCTGCTGCGGCGGCGCCGCCCCCTCCCCGTCGCGCCTCCTCTCCTCGCGCGCCCGCTTCTTTTCCTTGCGGTGCGCGCCCGAATGGTGGCCGCCCTTGGCAATCAGCTCGCGCACGCATTGCACAGCAACATTATCGGGCACGCCTGCCGGGATGAAGGGGCGCAGCACGTGCGCCGGGACCCAGCGGCCAGTGCCGTCCGGCGACCGCCGCACGCTGATCCGGCGCGTCGCCGCGAGGGGCGAGACGAACGAATGGTGGCCGTCGAGAAGGCCGGTGCGCGCGCCCTGCGAGGAGAATTCGCTGTGCGGCAGCTCGCCGACCACGTACATCCACGCGACGTGCGGGTCGCCGCGTCCCCGCGCCGTCCGCCAGCTCGGCATTATGTCGTCGAGGACGCCGACGCACGCGCCGTTCAGGGTGTTGTACTTCTTGTGGCGCAAGTGCACGTGCGTCGCCGGAGTCTCGATCACCTCAGTGGTGCCAAACTTGAAGTAGGCCGCGTCCTGCACGTGGAGCGTCGCGAGAGGGTCGCCGTCGTCCACGAAAAGGGTGACGTACAGCGGGTCCAGGACGACGACCATGCCGGTCAGCTGTTCAGGCCGGGCATCAGCCCTCCTGGCGAAAAGAATAGGCCAATCCTCGCCCATCCCCAGCTCGCTCTATCACACCCCCCAAGAGCCCTTGGGGAAATCCGCTCCGAGCGGCATGCGTGTGATGACCACATCCTACGCATCCTGTTCACGGTTACTGTTCACGGTTAGCCTCGACAGGCAGAGGCGGGTTGAAAAAAGGCGAGTTTCCCCCTGGGTCTGACCCTCAGCGCTCATTCGTTTCTTCTTACTTCAGCGTTCGAGAGAGCACAGCGTGAGGAGTGAGTGGCGAGTGCTGCATGGTGCCTGGCTGCCCTCCCCCCCGGGCTGCCCTCCCCCACACACGCGGCCTCACGTCGCTCGTCTCGCGCCTCGCCTCGCGCAGTCTCAGTCCAACGAGAACATCGCGCCGAGCGTCGTCATGGCGGTGGCGAAAGAGCTGAGGAAGCTTACCAACGAGCCGCTGGAGGGCATCAAGGTGCTCCTCAACGAGGAGGACATCACCAACATCGTCGCTGACATCGCAGGGCCCGGTGCGCGCCGCGCGCGCGGCCTGCCCGCGCTCGATGCGCCGCTCCACATGGCTGCACCGCTGCGCGCGCCCTCCTCTGGCACTGTCTGCACAGTCTGACCCTTCCTGCGGCCGCCGCGCGCAGTGGCGACGCCCTTCCACAGCGGCACCTTCAAGGTGAAGCTGGTGCTGCCGAGCGACTACCCCGCCTCGCCTCCAAAGGGTCCGCGCGCTCTGCCCTGCTGCGCGCCGCCGCCGCCGCCGCCGCAGTGTCGCGCGCCGCTGTCCCGCGCGCCCTCGCCTCCCGTCCCCTGTGCGGCGCGCTCTCACCGCCCTGTCGACCGCGCCGCGCCCGCAGGCTACTTTCTGACCAAGATTTACCACCCGAACATCTCAAAGGCTGGCGAGATATGCGTCAACACGCTGAAGCGCGACTGGAAGCAGGCCCGAGATCGAGCCGAGATGTGGCCGTAGATCTAGCCGAGAGTGCGGGAGACGCGCGTCCGCACACACGCTCAAGCGCGTGCTGGACGCAGGTCGGCCGCACCTCCGCGACACTCACGCACACGCACGCGCGCACACGCACGCGCGCACGCACACCTCGAGAGCACGCCGCCGTGCCGCTTCTACGCCTTGCCGAGAGAGAGGGACCACCGGCGCCGTCGCCGCCTCCTTCCCTCCTGATTCCCGCCACCGCCTCCAGCCACCGCCTCCTCCCCTCCGCCCCATCGCAGGACGTTGGCGTCGGGCACGTGCTGCAGGTGGTTCGCTGCCTGCTCATCAACCCCTTCCCAGAGTCTGCACTCAACGAGGAGGCGGGCAAGCTATTTATGGAGGACTACGACCAGTACTTCAAAAAGGCGCGCGCACGCACCGCACGCGCGCAACGCCGCACGCAATGCCGTGATGCACGCTCCGCCGTGTCGCGCCGCACCCCCTTGACGCACGCACGCACCGCGCCACATCGCATCGCCCGCGCCGCATCGCGCGAGCGGAGCGCGCGCGCCCGACCCGACCCGCGCCCGACCTGCGGCGCGCAGGCGGCGATGATGACGGAGGTGCATGCGAGGGTAGCGGGCGCGGCGGGCGCGGCGGGCACGAGCGCGACGGGCGAGGGGGGGCCGGTGGAGAAGCGGCAAAAGCCAATCGAGACCAAGGAGGCGGAGAAGAGGAGGCAGGAGAAGAAGAAGTCCATCAAGCGGCTATGAGGCGCAGCGAGGGACCGAGGGTGTGCGCGCCGTCTGGCCGGGCGTGGGGTTGCGACCAGGGGCCTTTTGGGACGTGCCGTCGAGATGATGTGCCGTTCGATGCATGTGGCGACGATGAAGCGGCCGGCGCGGCAGGAGGTAGCCTCTTGCGTCGGCGGCCGGTGTACTTTATAGGACTAGGCAGGCGACACTGCGACGCTGCGGGGGGGATTCAAGCAGCGGACGAGATCTTTGCGGGTATCCTCACGCACACCGGGGGGCGCGCGCACAGTCACACACACACGTGCCGCTTGGTTTAGGTGTGTGTCCCGCCGCGCTCAAACCGCCCCGCTCAGAGCCGCATGTAAAGAAAGAGGACCGAGAGTCCGAGTACCGAGATGCCGAGAATAGAGTAACCAACGGGTAATGATTTTCCCATCTGATGTCTCCGAGATGAGGATTGAGGTGCTTTTCCGCGCTTTTTTTCGGTGTTGAGACCGGAGACCGGAGTGCGGAGACGGGAGAGTCCGGACCTCCGGAGTGCGGAGACGGATTTTATTTCGCCTTTTTCCGCGGAGTAGCTAGACCTAGAGCCGCCCCGTCGGCAGAGGAGGGAGAGCAGAGAGACCCCGGTGGGCGGCAGTGGGCGGTGCGCGCCGCGCGGAGAGCGGAGAGGCGGATGTACAGCAACCAGTGGACGCGAGAGGCGCGGGATCGCGGGACCGTCCTGCCTGGCGAGGTGGGTCGCGTCCCCCGATTTCCTCAACCCTCGGTCCTTCCCCCGTACGTGCTCGTCTTTCACAACGAGTACCGCCCGTCTCTTCCCCGCCCAATCCGGTTCCCACCCGCCCGCTGCACTACGCCTGGCGCTGGCAATCGTGGAGCGGGCGTGCAGGGAAGACGCCGCTCCCCACTCATGTGCGGCTATCCGTCCACCGCGATGGATAAACGAGTCCGAATCTTACACGCTTTGCGCGCTGCGGGATTGCGTTTGGTTGTCTGGGCGAATTTCCGAACCAAGCGTACGGTAGAGCAGAGGCGCCTAAGTCTCCGCTGCGCGCGCCGTGTAGACCATCGAGCTTACGCCCGGCCGGCTGCTTGGCGTGGGCGTGCCGGCGATGAGCGCTCCGCTGAGCGCGCTGGAGATGAAATCGAGGTTGGTCTGGCTCACCTTTCCGTCAAAGCTCTCTGCGCTCGGAGGCGCCACCATCGCCCGGACCTCCTCCCACGGCACCCACCGCGCGCCGGCGAGCTCGCGCTCGTTCATCTGGATCTCCTCGCTGCCCTCGCACACGAGCTTGACCACCTAACTAATGGTTGCATGGTCACCGTTTGGCGGCGTGCGCTGCCCTCGCGCACAGACTCGCCGCCTACTCTCGACGGCGCGCCTCTCGGCCCCCTCCCGACCGAGCCTCAGCATCTCTCCCACGCCAGACCACGTACAAGTCGCCCACGCCGAACCGGAAACCGTGCGAGTGGCGCAGCGAGACGACGCCGCCGCCGTTGGACAGCGAGGCGGCGATCCCCGTCTCCTCGCGCACCTTGCGGGAAGCTTCCGAGAGCCTCAGAGGCGTCCGCCGGAGGCGGCGGCCAGGGCGGCCTCCTCGCGCGCCTCGCGCGCGACCGTGTCGGCAAAGTCCTCACCCGGATCGGCGAGCCCGCCTGGTGGGAGGCTCCGAGAAGCGTCAGAGAAGGGCCCTCCAAAGAGCCTCGCCCTCCGGTGCGCGCGCGACGCCCGCCCGGCAGTTTCCAGCTGCCCTGCATCTTCGCCGTCGGAGAGACGCGCTCCTGCACGGCGGATGCCTGGAGCTGGGCCGAGGTGCAGCCGAGGTGGCCCGAGGTTGGCCGAGGCAGCCGAAGTGGTCTGAAGTCGGCCGAGGTGTTGCCGAGCCGCGCTCCTGCACCATCAGCACATGGCCCGCGGAGTTGACGACGACGCCGCCGACGCCGACCTAAAGGCGCAGGCGGTGGCGTGGGCGAAAGGCGGCAGTAGACACTTTGGTGACGGCTCGGGTGAGCGGTGGTGGGTACCTGGGTGAAGGCGTAGGCGGGAAGCGGGCTCGGCTGGTCGGTAGGCAGCCAGCGGGTCATCTCGACGTACTCCGGCTTTGCGTGGTGGAACTGGAAGCCCTGCGCCGCCGCCGAGCCCGCAAAGGCGGCGCACTCCAGCGGGATCTTGAGCCAGAGCCCTCGCTTGCCCGCGGCGGCCCACTGCTCAATCCGGCGGCTGAGCTCAACGCCGAGCGCGTGCGGCGTGTCCGCGGCAGAAATCGGTACCTCAATCTCGACGCCGCCGTACCGGTCCTCCCTGGTCGTTAAAGGGGGAGGGCCGCCGCCGCCGAGCACCGTGCCGAGCTGATCGAGGAGGGAGAGGCATGTCGGAAGGATGGACGCCTCCGGCTCTGTCGACTCGACTGTTGCCTGTAGCTCGCGCAGCTTAGCCAGCAGCAGGTCAGCCACCATGCTGGCTGGGCGATGGCAAAAAGGCCAACTCTCGGAAAGTCTCGAAAAGTCCTCGCGCGGAAAAACAGTTTTTTTCTTTCTTTTTGGGGGGCTTACCACAATTTTTTAGGCGGCACCCTCGACCAAACCTTGCTCAAGGTTCTTGGGTGCAAAGAGCGCGGCCACAAGTCACAGGGGCCGCTCGTCCATGCGACCGGCAAAGGCTGGGTCAAAGAGCACAAGGGACAGTACTACGACGCGCTCCATGCCATGATGCATGAACGGAATCGTCAAAATTGGTCTCGTCGAAAGCCAGGGCGGCATTGCGCCGCCGACCAAGAGAATCATCTTCAACTTCGCCAAAGAGGTCGGCAGCCCGAGCGCCGTCGACCGCACCGACTACGGCACAGCCTCCGGCAGCGCCCGGGGCTTCGTCCAGCACCACTCGCAACAGCTCTCGCGCGCCGCCGTCTGTGGCGACGCGCAGAACATCAACAACGCTGCTCGCAACATGCGTGTCGCGCACTCATTCATGACCGGTCTCAATGTCCCACCCCCCCTGCGCGCGGGCCTTCTAGGCCCGCGGGTAGTCTCACCCCATCCCCAGGGCCTCCAGGGCTCGCACCTCAACCTCTCACAGACCAGCGCACAGCGCCATAGGAGGTACTTTCTTCTCAATAACAAGGCTGTGAACCTCGCGGGGGCTCGGGTCGTGCAGACAGCAGCTTCGGCAATCGAAAACTGCCCCGCCTTCTGGAATGGCCGTCGATACCAGTACGACACGGTCATTCCAGGCACGGATGACACGCCACGCAAGCGTGTTCTGCGGCTGCGTGCTGAGCGCAGGGCGAACAGCTTGCCTTTCTCCGCGGCCAAGCTCCTGAGCGGCCGCTCACTGCTCGGTACCCCCCCTGCACATCTAAAGCCATGGCCGACCCCCCCCCCAGCAGCAGCGCTCTGCTGCTGGGGGGGTCGGGACCCCCCCCCCCTAAGGATGTGTATAAATATTGATTCTCGCCCCTCTAAGTATTGATATTGAATATTGACAGCCTTCCCTCTAAGTATTGACAATATATTGACGTATTGATCGCTGATTTTTACCTCAAAAAGCATAAAATGTTGAAATTTGACCCAAACATCGCCTATGTGGTGGCTTGAAATCGAAAGATTTGCGAGTAGAAAGCATGGCAGAAAGCGATTTTGATGCGAATCGCGATTTTCAAGCGATTTTGGCCCATTTAAGGCGATTTTCGAGCGTCCTCAAGCCCGGGATGGACCTCCCATCGCTGGAAACGGAGTCCACCCCGACCAGACCAGGGCCAACCCCCTCTAAGTATTGACAATATATTGGAGATTGACTGCGCCTCTAAGTATTGGAGCAATATATTCAATATTTATACACATCCTTACCCCCCCAGCAGCAGCACTCTGCTGCTGGGGGGGTCCGGACCCCCCCCCCCCAGCAGGAGCGCTCTGCCTGTGGGGGGTGCTGGCATCTCTGTACAGTCTACAGACAGCAGCTGTAAAAGTAGCATGCCCATGCGTTCCAGTGGCGATAATTTATGGTCGGCACCAAAATCAGTGGTCTCACCGGCGGGCCCTCCTACTGCCAACCGGGAGGTGCGGGGCACGCCAGCCTCTCTTCTACGCCTCTCGTGCATCGCGGCGCCTCTGCCTCAAGGAGGGAAGATACGGCTCTCGCAGCCCATCGGCATACGCCGTGGCACAGCAGGGAGCACAGCCTGTACAAGATATTGTTCCCTATCTTCGCATGCTCATCGTTGGTGATATCCGCGTGAGGTCATACGCCACAGGCCAGCAATCACTCGGTGATGAGACTACTGATTTGGCGCGACGCTCTGACACCGAGTGTTGCTCGACGCTGCGACACCGCCAAGTACCGCGTGCAGCGCTCAACCTCGCGGAGTACACCTCTCGCTATCATCACGCTTCGCGGCGGTCGGGCTGCTAGGTGTATTGGGCTCGAAGGCGCGGTGAACACAACCGCCTCGAGCGTACCGCTCAAACATCGAGCCCGACGGGTCGGATGTGGTTGGGTCCGGCCGGCCGAACGACGCCAGGGAGACACTGCGGTCCGTCGCAGCTCTGTCTGCATGGGGCGGCCTCCGGACACCCCACACACCCCAGGCAGCAAGCAGCTCTGCTGCTGGGGGGGTCC